CCTAATCCTCTTCCGTAGAAATCTATTAACTTACAAAATGCTTTTTTTTTGTGGGAAGAAAAGAGGAATATTTTTTATTTCTACTTCAATATAATGTGTTAATTCAAAGTGAGTTTATGATCTATTTACAGACTGTGGCCAGTCATATAGCTGCTGGTGAGAAAAGGTCATAAAATCAGCGTGTTTTATGTCTTTGGAATGGCAGAGGTGTTTTGTCCTTGAACTCCAGGTGGAAGATGAATAAGTTAAATATTTCCAAAACTCAAACCTGAGTCTGTTAAGTAAGGAATGATCTAACTGTACAGGATGATTTACAACAGGAAGAATCTTAAAAAAGGAATCTTACATTTTTATCTTTGATTCTCAAACTGCTGCTGGGATTGTGAACCGTCACTGTTGTCAGTATCTGGAAAGAAACAGAAACCGATTCATGATCAGAACTTTTAAATCTGGCTTCAAACTAAAGATGGACACCATTTTTCTTCTTGTCTGATTTAAAGCAAACCAAACGTTTCCTGTTTTGGCTTATTTAAAATGACAGAACTTGTCTCTATTTTCCTAAAACTATATTAAAGCTTCAGGAGATCAAAATCAATGGTATGAAAATTGAAAAAAAAAAATGATCAGACAAGATTTTGAAAATACTTTGGTTCAGCATCGAGTGCCTGAAATTTGTCTATGGAGGGAATTTTGCTGCAATATTGTTGCAAGCAATAAAAACATTTTGTAAATGGAAATTTGAAAAAAATGAAATCCAGAAAAAAAAGGTAACTTTCATTTTAATTTTTCTTTAAATTTTTTCCCTCAAATTTTGTTTTTTTCCAAAAAATATGTAAATTTTTTTCTATGTTTTTTTATGTTTTACAGTTTATTTTTTAAAAGCTAAAATCTAAAAAAAAGAACATCTGTCATAGAAAGGTTACTCTAATCTTACTATGTGATTAAATCATTTATTAAAGTCTAATTTTTGGACTGCATTTATGTCCTGTTGCGCATAATTCTGTGTTTTTATTTGCTGTGAAAATGTGGGTTTCATTTCCAGAACAAGAACAATGTATATATCCACAGCAGATGCAAAGCTGTGGAAAAAAACAGGCTGAACGGCCGCTCAGAAAAGAAGAAGCCATTCTCCCCAAAAGCAGCATAAAAAAACAGAATAAAGTTTTAAATGAAATCAAGGATCTTAAGTTTCAGGGACATGGGGTCTTTAGGTGGGGCCCTGGTGTTAGTTTTGGGCTGTATGGGGCTGGTCTGGGGCCCCTCACACCTGCTATTGAGCATTTCTTTCTGCTGGTGTTGACGGACACACAGTTATGCTAGGTACTAAGCTGTAGCTTCAACTATATATAGCTGTGCATAATTATGTAATCTTCATAGGTTTCGCTTTTACACCATGGGACGCTCCTTTTAGTGGTCGGTGTGCTGTGTTTTTTTTTTATTGCCTTGTTTCTTACAGGTGTGTAAGTAAACTTCTAGGAACTGTTCTGTATTTTATGTTTTCTTCTCCCTTTCTCTTAATTGTTATCCCTCATCCCTTTCTCACCTCCATTTCCGTATCTGTGCCCATCGCGTATTGTGTTATATTATGCAAGCAAATTCGTGAGAGAGTAAAGGAGGCGCAGAGAGGGAGAGAGACAAAAACATAAAGGAGGAGGCGGCGGCCAAATGCAGGTCAGTAACAGATTTATTCACCCCACCCCCCACCCCTACCCATGGTGCCATTAAAAAAAAAAAAAAAAGTAAAAGTTATAAACAAAATATTATAATAATAGCGGGATTATATGACATTATATAACTATGTATAGCTGTAACCTTGGCACTACTTATTATGGAAAATTTTAATTATCTTAGTACTATCGCAATTACAGCTGTAAAGTTACTGTATATTCAAACCTTAGACATTACAGTAGGTCATTCTAGATCAGTATTTCCCAACCAACTCGTGTTTCCCTTTGGACAATTTTTCGTCCCCTCTTAGTCAAAAGTATTGATCATTGTCCAAAAGAGGAACCTACAATAACTGAAATCTTTTAATTTGAGCATTTATTTTTTATAAATTTATGCTTTCTTTCTCAAATAAAAAAACAACGTAAATATGTAGCGTGGAGGTTATTAAGGAATCGAAATAGATACAAAATAAAATCATATTAAAAACCTGTATTTATATTAATGGGGCCGTTCTCTGCATCCGGGCTGTTCCTCTGCTTGGTTTGCATGAGTGTCACAGCTGAAGGTGAACCCAAATATATAAGAAAAACTTACTTTTTGGTTGATAAAAGCTGGTTTAATTTTTCAGCAAAACAGATCCCAGCCCTATTTCATTTTACTACCTCAGAAATCAGTCATGTGACCAGGGTGGCCGGGTTACATGACTGAAACCTGGCCTGAAAAAATCTCTCAGTTCGGCCCTGGACCCTTAAGATGATTGCACTTATGCGCCCAATTTTAATAGAAGGAGAAGACATATTTTTCTCAGGTGTCATGAGAAAAATAAAAAACAGTTATTGTGTTTTGGTCATAAATGTAGGTATTCGGTAATCCAATGAGAGACTACAAAGTTTAGTTAATCTGAAATCACAGCCTCCATTGGATAATCCATGTGGTCCAACAGCACAAACAATACTAAACGAATAAAGAATATATAATATTTATTCAAAATAACATTAGAGCCGTCTTTATAAAAGATCTGTGTTAACTCTGTAATTTTAATATTTGGTTGACTCATTACTGAGGATTATTTGAGCGGTGGACTGTCACTACCTCGGCGCCAGAGTGTTTGCCAGTTTTTGGTACTCTAGCCAGGCTGAGTTTTGCTGAGTCTAACTTAGTCTTTGTTTTTCGCTGAGCCTAACCTTGTGTTTTTGTCTTTGCCTTTTCGGCAGGAAGCTTTCCTGCAAGCTGGATGTTTGGCCTTCTCCCCCTGGAAGGATTGTTTGAGTCTCACACTGAGCAGGGGATTAACCTCCACAAGTTCCATTCAAGTCCTCCTGGATTCCCAAGTGACAGTCCGCTCAATAGCTCCTCTGGGTCTAACCAAGTCTATACCTGTCCGCCCTCCAACGAATCTCAACCGCTGGAAAAACCCACACCGACTGGATTCTGGGAGGAAAGTTTTCTCCACTAACGTGAGTCCCGTTTTCTCTGTCTCTCCAAGTCATCATTCAAAGTTCCCACGGATCCTGAACTAACCACTGATACTTCCCTTCCCTCTCCAGTTCCGGTTCACCAGTTCACTGTATTTCCTGAATCCAACCCTGCTGGTTTTCATCAATAAACCTGTTCAAACGTTTACCCTGGTTCTCTGAGTGGTTTACTGCATGTGGGTCAGATCTCTTAAGAAAATCATGACGTGAATAAACTTCCGTTTTGACAGCGGAAAAATTGGGTGTTAAAAATTCATAATTAACCTTTTTTACTCTAAACAGTGTATTTAAATCTATACTGAGTCTCGTCTACACTTGTGTCGGAGTTAATATTAAGTGTAAATTTGACAACCATGCAGTGCAGCTTTTACTCTATATAATGTTGATTAGCCGCTAGCTTCTGGGAGGTCGTCTTGATTTTGACACTTTTATGATTAAAATTAACTCTAAATACCTGACACTAGCTATAGAGTAAATGTTACTCTCAGTAGGAGTGGGACCAGTTATCTAAACAGGGCATGTATAAAAGAAAAAGAGGTGCAGGACATGTCCTGATGTCTGTTGACACCTGAAAGGAGGAGGTAAGGTCTAGAGTGACATCTGGAGGAAAAGAAGGAAGGTTTGAAAGCCTGGAAATACTCTGCCAGGTAGGTATTACGGTTATAGTCCGCAGTGAATGAACCACAAGGGGGTGAATGAAGAACCCTACAAACCTGACTGTTACACTGGTTCGGTCAAATAAAAAAAAAAATGGAATACTGTTGGTAATCTGCAGTTCAGTCAGCTTTAATGACGGTTTGCGTCTTTTACCTTATCATCGGTTGATCTCTTTCCTGTTGCTTCTGGGTGTTTCTCCAGAATGTGCAGCATGGCATCGTGCAGAGTGAGGAAGAACATGGAGGGCTGAACTTCATCATCAAAGAAGCAACAACTGTGGAGTTTCTCCAAGATGTACTCTGTGGTTCAGAAGAGATTAGAGGAGTTGAGGAACTCAGATTGAGAGCAAAGAGTCAAACAGCTCAAGCTAACAGCTTGATTGTCGTCTAGCTGATGATTTCTGGTGATCTGGGAGTTTAAAGTTTGTCTTTTTGACTTTTTTTTCCAATGCGACCCAGACCACTGGGCTCTGTGGTCCTGAATCCGATACGAATCTGATCTTTTTTAATCCGACCTGTTTCTGAACGGCCAGGTCGCATAGTTAAGCCATAACGAGTCTTTGTTGCTCCACTCTATAAAGCCTGGAACTCAACGTTTCCTGGATGGGAAGCAAAACATCTTCCAACTTTCTTTGTACTGGATCTGCAGGATGTGAATGGAGAGAAGTTTATGTGCATGTACCTTGAGTAAAAATGTACGTATGCGCGGACTTTTCTTTTTTACAGCACTAGTGGTTCCTCTTTTTGGACAATAGGTTGACAGGAAAGAGGGTATGAGAGAGGGGGAGAGACATGCGGCAAAGGACATAGGTTGGATTCCAACCCGGGTCAGCCGCGTTTAGGCCTCCATACATGGGTCATGTACGCTAATCACTGCGCCACCAAAGCACGCCCGCATGTTGACTTTGGAC